TCTATTCGCTTATTCTTATTAAGCTTTGATCGCGATATTATTATTTACCTCTCTCATCATCATTTACCTCTTATAAGATTATTTCTCCCGAGCGACTTCTTGATTTTCACTTCTTTCGATAAAACCGTACCGGATATTTCCGCGCGTTTGGTTTCGTCGATCTTTCAACGAGAGAAACAACAAAAGGGAAATAGAAGGACTCGTAATCTTCTGTCGAAAAAGCAATTATTCTCCGAGTCACCGGTTTACTTTCTGCGCGCGACAATCGAATTTCGCAATTGTCGAGAAACGTACTGTTCCGGATTGTGTCGCATTGAGCACCGGATATCTAGTCCTTGTTCTGTTTGCGGCAGGAGAGAAAGGGAAATGGAGAGAAATAAATTGTACCGGGACTGTTTCGATAAGCGGTCGATGCTGCGAAAATGAAAAGACCGAACAGCTCGTCCAGCTATTTATTGCACGTCGTGATTCGGACACCGGTATGAAACGGTTTTTTGGCGACGAGTCGAGCGTCGACCTATATCAACCGCGATTGCATTAAACCGTGCACGTCGAATATATCTCTTGGTTTACGGGCTGTACGAGCAATTTCCGGCTTTTGGTCGAGGTCGTTGTGTCGTATTATGTGTAGATATTAACCCTAAACCTGCCAATCGCTATTCTATAAGAAATGTCGTTGTTTTTTGCTACCTTTTATATTTCTTGTTGAAATCTTTTTGCTTCACTATAAAAATCAGAAATACTTAAGTTATTGTATATAAAGTAATTTATAAAGTACCAAAGTTTAGCAAGCAGATTTTTTTATTAATTTGAAATCGATTTCCCTGTGACAAAAATGCCGAGATATTGCGGCCATCTTCGAAAAATGAATTAAAACATAACAAATAAAAGAAATAAAAATAAATAACGAAAGAGTCTTATTTTTCATAACTTTAAATGGACCGTACTTTAATTCTTTAACAAAATTCTTCTTTAATTCTAACTTAATTAGGTACTAAATCGTCTAATGTCAATAGGTAAGCAAGTAGAAAAAGATGCCGATCGATCAAATTTCCCAAAGGAAATATCGACTCCGGATTTGTCAATATTATAGATAAAACTTGACATCGGTAAAGCTTGACGACTTACTTTAGCCGATATCTATCTATCCATCTACTTTTTTGTCTGTCTCCCACGTGACGTAAATGACCCAAATCGATAAAGCGTACTATTATGTCGTGGTAAATGCATTTCTTTACGGTCGCATTTTCTTTCTCCTATCTTATCGGCAATTTACTGGCTGGTTGTGAAGCGTTGTTATATTAGTACCTTACGAACCGGCATCGGCAATTAGATCACCAGTTTCCGCTGCGCGCTATATTATCGTTGCACATTGTTTCATTTCCGCGCGATAAGCTTGCCGCGGCGTAAGTTTACCGCGAGCGATAGACTAATTATCGGTTAAACGCCAGAGGAATGACGTTCCCTGGCGTTAAATTTGCAGCTTGATGACGGTCCCCGATTCGCGCCGCGTTATTGCAATCACGAGGGTTGTCGCGCGATCACGAATTGAACGTCCTTGCGGAAAGTGGTGGTGGTCGTCGCTTAAGAGAAATTCGCATGCGAAATTAGTCTGTCAGCGCGGTTAAGAGGCGAGGAGGACAATTCTTGGTAATACGCGTGCAAATCAAATAAGAAGGACATCGACCGCGACCGAGCTCAGTTATTCCACGTTATTCCAGTGCGGTTTCCCCTTCCCCCTTGAGAGCTTGGCTTTCTCTCAGCGCGATGGTCCTCCGTCATGCTCCTCGGTCTCCCCTTTACTCGTTATTGCGGTGGCACACGTGAGATGGAAATCTCAAGAGCGCGTGTATATTGAATCTTATATCTATTTACATTTCTCGACGCTACATACCTCATTTTGTTGTATCGCCGCGGGATCAATTCGAACGCTCGATAAACTGTCTCTTCAAAGTGGGGAACGTGAGAGGAATTCGAACTATTGTATTCGTTTTCGAATTTTAATAACGTCGCGGCGATACGAATGAAATTTGGTTCCTAGGGCGCTAGGAGAATTAAATTTATCTCGCTGTACCTTTTTCTCTCTGATTTTATCGAATTTCGTGAGACCATATAGTGCGCTGCAGGCATCTGCGCAATAAAATACGGAGCCCTATATGGTGCGTACAATTTAATGAACCTGGACTGTTAACGAGGTTCGAGTAAATCTCTAACGTCAGAGATCGATTATGACAAAGAAACACCTGCGTCTGACACAGGGGATGTTGATTAAAGCCGGGAAGTCTGCTTTGACGAGGAAGTTTCGAATTTAATCCCTATAGGTATCCCTATATGAGTGATCGAAGAGCGCTTTTCTACGTGTCAGTGAGGTGACATTTCGATCCTAATTGCAAAATGGCTAAGTGACTTTTTTCCTAGTAAAGAATGAAGAGAAATTCGCTTCGTCCCATAATTACCATTTATTTCCTTATAAGTTCTCTTACCTTATACTAATAACTTTCGGCTTTAATAATATCGAAATTATTCATAAAGTATTTGACAAAATATTGAAAAATTGAAATAATACATATAAAATTGTTAATATTTATAATTTTATATATTAAGGAATATATATGGGGCATTCCATGCCAAATCATCGAGGATTTTCCCCGACCATTTTTGATTTGGCGGAAATTTTTTCGTGTTCTTATACTAAATGAAAGTAGCATCCATGATTTTTTTTAGATTTTTATCTCTACCTAAAATCAAATTTTTTGATAGCCATCGGTACAGTCTATCTTATTTAAAAAAAATTATTTTCGAAAAAGAAATGAAAAAAAAGTCCCTTAAAAAATCGAAGTTATTGAAATCCCATCTTCATCAATGGCTTAAAAATTTCGAAACTAAGTCTAGAATTTGAGATTAAAAAAAAAAAAAATCAAAACGGTCGCATTAAGAAAAAAAAATATTTTTTACTTAAATCCTAAAAAAAAGTCATATTGTTCATTAAAATTTTTTTCAATATTTTCTTCGAAAAGTACAGTAAAAAACGAAAAAAAAGATTACCTCATTTTTTACAATATTTTTTTTTTTCTTAAAGTTACAGGCATTTGAAATTTTAAACTGCATTTTTTTGAAAAAATCCATAACTTAAGTATGGGTAAAGATAAAAATCTAAAAAAAAAAATCATGGAAGCTACTTTTATTTAGTATAAAAACACAAAAAAATTTCCGCCAAATCAAAAATGGTCGAGAAAAATCCTCGGTGATTTGACATGGAATGCTCTATATAAGGGTGTTCCAGGTCAGGTCAAACTTTAAATTCTTCTAGGAAATTAAATTTGGAACAAAAAAATTCTATAAACATAAAAATGTTTTATTAAAAAATTGAAGAAAAGGAATAATACAAAGGTTACATCAATGAGACCATTCAGAGGGACAACAATTTTATTAAAAGTAAAAGAAAAATAATTTTTAACCAAATTATCAAATGTGTTCAAAATGTTATCCCTGTTTATTAATACATTTTTGGCATCTACGCCTACGCAATTTCAAGTTTCTGTTTTTTTCATTGTTTTGAACTTTTTTTCTTTTGAACGCCTTATCAGAAACTTTGAACGCTTTATCATAAATAAAATTGGTGTAATTTAGGTTGTTATTGAATTACTCATCAGATTTATTTCGTTACTTTTTTCAAATGAATAAAGGGTGTTTTAAAGTTATTTTTAAAAATTATAAAAAAAAAACGATTTTTTGAGGTTTATTAGTCATAACCTTTTAACGAAACGTTTTACGGACCTATGTGTTTATGGAACTTTTTTATTCCAAATTCAATTTCCTATAAAATCTTGAAGTTTTATTGACCTGAACTGGAACACCCTGTATATTGAAAAATACTATAAAATTGAAATTTTTTATTTTGCGAAGTAAAATTGGAGAGAAACATATTCTTTTTATTTGAATTATTAACCAGCTTCTTTCTTATGCAAGACAAAGATAAATACAAAAAAAAAAGAAGAGAAGAAAATAGATAAGATTGACGAATGTGTAAGATCTGTTATTTTAACAACGTTTATCGATATTTCATTTATTTCATTTATCTTAGTTTCTAGGATTAAAGCAAACGCGCAATTTGGACCGTAGCTCGGAAAGGACGTTTCTCGCGATGATTCATTAATCATTTTCCGCTCGGTATTATCTTATATTGCCACAAACAGATTATTAAATCGTATTACACGGGGCGGGTACACACGTTTGCGAGACAGAACGCATGGGAGGAGACGGGTTAAGCCGGAAGAGATAGAGGAAATCTCGACCATCTCGACCGACGAAATCTCAGGCTTTGGCATTCCCGGGCGCATCGCGTACGTGCCTGCGCGTGCTCTTACCATTCGCACTCGGATATTCCGGCGCAATTACCGCGCTATTTGACGGATTAAAGCGCCCCTTTCTCTACCATACCTACCTGCGCGAGACTTCGTCCGATATAATTGCGTGCGTATGTGCATGGTGCTAAGCCGATTTAATCATCACGAATAACGCGGATTATCATCGCTTTCCGCGAAACATCATCGGTTAACCGCTCGATGCCTGTTTACGCAATATTACGCACAGCGATTGGTATCGCGAACGTATAATAATATGCGATTGATTCGATTGTTAATTCAAATCTCAAAGCTTTCCCGTCAAAATTCCTTAAGAAACAAAAGGAGATAAAGAAAAAAAATTCTAAATTATATCTTTCAAAAGAAGTGCAAATGTGAGGTACTGCAATGCGATTCATTTTTTATCTTAATTCTCAATACCTTATATATTGGCAAGAAATTGCGAGCTCTTCTTGTTACGTGTTTACAAGACTTCTTTATAATTACGTGGACGTGGCTAATGGAATGACCAACAGTCAGAAACTTTTTTAATAAATAGAAATTTTCAGGCTAGAAGTCTGAAAGTTTCCCCCCTTGAAGTTCTCCACTCTTTCTCTCTTTTCCGAATATTCATGTATTGCAATTGCTTTGTTGCAGATAGCGAAATTGTTCTCCTACACGTGGACCATGGGTATCTTTCTATGCAAGGCGGTGCATTACATGCAGAGTGTGTCGGCTATCTGCTCGGTCGTCACCCTTACCGCGATGTCGATCGAGAGGTGAGATTACTTGTACCTGCTGTGTTCCTGCTGTGTCCGATCGATTATGCGTCGCAGTTATTATGATCGTATGTAAATTGCAAGCAGGTCAATCGAACATCAATTGCATTGGAAAAGGATTCGCGAACGTTCGAGAGTCAACGAGGATGGCGCGTGTTATATGATTTGTGTAAAGTATAATGCCATAACAAATACGATTGCATAAATTGACCGAATAGTGCTTTGAATTTATATTGAGCATTGATCTAAAATTGCATATGTAATTACATACGGAAAAACTGTGCAAGGACAATTTCATAAAACATTTCGGGAAAAAGGCTAGAAATAACGAGAGTTTAAATTACAAACTTTTGTATGGTTTTGTATGACTACAAGAATAATTGTTTTTATTAAAATATTACTTTTTTAAATAACCGTTTTATTAAATATTACTTCAAGTAAGTAAATAATTCT